GTAGCCCTGTGATAGACTGGTGACCTGTCCAGGTGTCCCCTGCCTTCGCCCTGAGTCAGCTGGGATAGACTCCAGTCCCCTACAACCCTAGTGAGGATTAAGCGGTGTATAGATAATGGATGGATGGATGAATGGATAGACAAACTCTTCACACATCTACTTCAGAATGCAAGATGCCCACACTGCATTCCTACAAATATGAACATCTGCAGGGAAACATTGGCCCATCAGAACTTTAGACATTCACTTTATAACAATTTGTCCGTTTAATGTACAAAATCTTGAGGTACATTCATGTTTTTGGATTATTCTATAAACAACTCATCTTTACAAATTGCATAGTGGTTGTTTTGAAGGGATGCTGTAACACACAGGATTTGTTTGTCATATCACATATCACACCCGAGACCACTGAACAGAAACACTGTGAAATGTTTTATATTTGAAAACAGCTGTTTGGAGGATAAAGGTCTGATGCCTGAGTCTATTGGCTGTGAAGTATTATTATGCATGTTTTTCAGCGCCAAAAGCAAAGAAGCAGAAATCTAAATCCAAAGACCCTTGCCAAAAGGTTGTTAAAAAGGTAAGTACATTGACTATTTGCTTACTGTAAACTCGTTGGTTACAATGAAAAGCAAGAATGTCATTTCTCTTCAAGGCAAAGGTGGCACACGCTGCTGTTAAAAAGCAGCCGTCGGTGATAAAAGATTTGACAAACCACTCCGTCAAGATCAGTCAGCCTGCTCCTCCTCCGGTGCAGCCCTCGTTAGCAGAGAGTAAAGGCCAAGCAACACAACAGAATGCAGACCAGACCTGTGATGAGCCGACTTTATCCCCTCCAGGTGATACTCAGTCCACCCTTTTTGTCTCTTATCTGAAGATTTGTTTAGAAGGTGCACATTATTTTACTTAAAGCAATTTACAGGATCAGGAAAATGGAAGAGATTAAACCTTAGCATGGCTCATCCTGTGCTTAAACTTGAATTTTTCAGTTTTTTTCTCTATGATGCTGAACTAAAACCTTTGAGACAGTAAAATTGGAACTTTATTCTCATGCCAGCCCAGTTTTGGTCAGTCTTTGTCAGCCTCTTTATCAAAACTCTCTCAACAAGATTCCTTATTCCTTTGTGCTGCCAGTAGATCCTCATCACTGATTAACATCCACTGACTCTCATGCTGCTTCTAGTTGCCTTTAGTTGGCTACACTGTACTGCATGTTGATATAAACGTACAGAAGCTTCTTGCCTCTCATACGGTGATGATGTATCGAAGATCAATTCCTGTCATTTCCTGTTTGACAGATTTGTCTGCCCTTTTATCTCCCATGGCGTCTCCTGGAGTCTCACTGGACTGGGCTGCTGCCAGATTTGAGGTACTTTCGATGAAACGGCAAAATTACGCACAGCTTGTTTCGAAGACAGCATTTCTTGTACAGACTTGATGAATCTCGTTATGATATACTGGCCTCAAACTGGGCCCTTTAACCTTCTGAACTACAGGACGTTTTGGGGCACTTTTTGCTCCTGTCACATTTTTCCTCACTGTGGGCTCGTTTTTCACTGTAAGGCTGAAACCTCTGTGGAAACAGCACAGCCATGGCTGGAAAGAGGAAGAAATCTGAAATGTCTTTTTTGCAGTATTACACTTGATATGCCATAAATCATAAAAAACACTAAAACTTAAGTTGAGTTTCTTTCATTATTTATTTTCCACAAATTGGGGAGAAAAATAGTTACATTTTTAAATTTAATTTAACCTTTATTTAACCTGGTGAAGAAGAAGAAGAAGAACTTTATTTATATAACATCTTCCACAGAATAAAATCACAAAGTGCTTCACACAAGACAACATAGTATAAACAGTATAGGGTACAGAATGTAGATAAAAAGCAAGCCAACACAAATCCTATCAGCTAAAAGCTTGTCTAAACAAATGTGTCTTCAGCTGCTTTTTAAACAAATCAACAGAGTCTGTTTTACGGAGGGACTGAGGAACAATTTAGGAGCAACAGCCTGAAAGGACAAGTCACCTCTGGTTTTAAAGCGGGTCTTTGGGACCATGAGGAGGTTCTGGCCCGAGGAGTAGGGGCACAGCAGATCACAGATGTATTTAGGGGCTTGGCCATGCAAGGCTCTAAAAGTCATAACTAGAATTTTAAAATCTATTCAAAATTTAATGGGGAGCCAGTGCAGGGAGTACAAACCATGCATAATGTGAGTCCGTCTGTTGGATCTTGTTAAAAGCCTTGCTGCAGCATTTTGAACCAGTTGGAGGCGATTTAGAACAGATTTGTTAAAACAAGTAAAAAGAGAATTGCAATAATCTAAACAAGATGACATAAAAGCATGACTCACCAGTTCAAGATCAGTTAAGACCCATTGAGATCGAGGGTCTCTTTTACAAGGGTGACCTGGCCAAGAAGGTAGTAGCACACGTCAAAATATATATAACAAGATAATTAAAAACCGTTACAGAGAGACAGATGAAATGTTCAGATATATGAAATTACATGAGTTGATTATGAGTTCTAAACTGCGCAATACAAATAAAATTTAATTTAATTAAAATTTTACAAATTGAAAACATCCTGGAAAAAAGTGCAAATTTTGGAATTTTAAAGTGCAGGAGTTAAAGTACACAACAAATCAAAAACATGAGCACTGACTTGTTTTCTCTTTTCTCGTAGAATTTTGCTAAGTGCTTCAGGTGCAGGTAGGTCTGGCAGGTTTAGGTCTGGGTTGCAAGGTGGCTCGGTGGTTAGCACCGTTGCCTCGCAGCAAGAAGGTCACCAGTTCGCGAGGACACCCGGGATCTTTCTGTGTGGAGTTTGCATGTTCTCCCCCGTGCAGCGTGGGTTCTCTCCGGGTTCTCCGGCTTCCTCCCACACAGTCCAAAAACATATTGAGGTTAATTGGTGATTCTAGATTGTCCGTAGGTGTGAGTGTGCTTGGTTGTCTGTCTCTAAGTGTAGCCCTGTGATAGACTGGTGACCTGTCCAGGTGTCCCCTGCCTTCCCCCTGAGTCAGCTGGGATAGACTCCAGCCCCCCGTGACCCTAGTGAGGATTAAGTGGAGTATAGATAATGGATGGATGGAGGTTTAGGTCTTTCTGCAGCTTATTCCATGCAGTAGGGGCAGTTAAGTGCAGACATGTGGAACGGTCAAAAGAAAAACATCTCTTGCCTTCAAGGAATAATTTCTTTGACAGAGCAAAAAAGAATTTTAGAAATAAAATTCAGCCAATGAGTATTTCTCCTTTCATTCACAGGTGGCCAGCTAGACCTTTCATACAAAGTACAGTGATGAGTAAGGCGTTTACATCCTGTAACGAACCTCAGAGCACAATGATGCACAGTGTCCAACGACTGCAGATGTTTGCAGTAGTTTTCCAAGTGCCCACTTGTGCTGCTAATACTGTGGGAAAATTGTGTGTATTCATGCTGCTACATTTTAAATTTGTTCTACATGTTTGTTTGTTGTGTGTAAGTGCAGCCAGTTCAACTAAAAACTCCTAGAAATTTTCTCATGTTCCTGTTGCTCACTGCTGAGTCACCGACGGCTTCACGGTTGCACCTCGGAGCGCTGAATTTTTCACTTTGTTACAGAATCACACAAACTGATTGTTTTTGGCAAATTTTCGTGGGTTTTGGTGTTCAGAAAGTTAATGTTCCTTTTGGATTGTGAATGAGTAGCCAAGGTTGCTTAGTGAGTAGTCAAGGTCTCTCATTTACTGCCAGCAGTCCATCAGGAGGTAAATCAGTTGCTGGCATCAACACAGACATGGACTCTGCTGGCATCTGTTGTGGGATTTTTAGAATTGAACAAAAGACAAGAATTACATTTTTTTTTTAAAACCTAAAGATACAATTAGAGAAGTTAGGTAAATGTAAGACTAAAATGTGATGTGTAAACATTAAGCATAAAGAAATAATGTGAGTAAATAATATCATGTGCAAACAAGACAAAAGTTATGAATAGACTGGACAAACCTGTGGACAAAACCCAACCTAATGAAAATCTACAGAAGCCTGAGACCTGCTGGCAGGCCTGACACGCATGCACTCTCCCCCGCGCTGCCAGTTCAGATAAGGACACCATGGCCTGGAAATTACCCAGTAAAGATGGCATCCAGAAAGTCGTAAGAAGCCCACCACTGGGGGGGGGCAAGCAGGAACCCAGCGTAGCAACAGAGTCTTGGATTACGCTGTGCTAAGCAGGAAATAATACTGACTACGGACTCTCTGATGGGTATCACAGAAATCAGGTTGGGGTTTTTCCACGGTAGGAGGGAGTTGGACGAAGTTCGCAAGTATATAAGGACATGTAATGCATTGTTAGCCAGCCAGGTCTCGAGATTTTGCTCATGTTTGTTCGTGCAGCCTCTGTTTTGGATAAACATTCACATCAGACTCTGACGACTGTTGGGAGATTTTCTCCTCCTTGTAGAACTTTTTTGGGACCTGAAGTACCTAGCCAAGGATCGTTATTTCAGTTATACGTTTTGACGACACTGCCTCATCAGCGCTTACCCGAACCAGGCATCCGTAAACTATCAGAGGGCCTACAATCACTGAAAGACCAACAAAAATCTCCACATTTCCGAGTTACTTTATGTTATTCTGAGTTCTGAAAACCAGCAACAACCCTGCTGTTTACTCATGTTTTCAAATTTCAATCGAGGTCTATCAGAAAAGCAAAGAAAAAGATCCAAAAGCAACTTAAACTATAGTAGCAGTTCATTATAGCAGGTCCATGTTACGCTCACAATTGTATGCCATTTTTATTATTTATGTGCATTTTACAGTGTCATTGTCATGTAGTTGTTCTGTTTGTTTGGACTATTTTAAATGAGTCTCACCTTTCAACCTTCCAACAGGGCCCAGTGCTGTCCCCTCTCAGAGACAGTCCGCTGCAGTCCAAAGATGAGGCGAAGCCCAGTAAGTAGCCTAAAAAACATGTGCTTTGACATTTTTTATTGGCAAATACTTGAATTGAGGACTTGTTTTTAAACTAATTGTTCCAGATTTCAGAGACCCTGAGGACTTAACTGAAAGTCAAGAGGCTAATGTACCTTCCACCTGTCCTGCTGAAGAAGAAAAAACACAGATTCCCAAAAAGGTTAGTGTTGTTCAGCTTCCTTTCCAGAAAACTGTTGTGATTTTAAAACTGCTAATTGCTTTTATTTTATGTTTTTAATATATATTTTTTGAGTTTGTGGTTATTTTTGCTTTTGCTATTTCATAAAATGGTGCATATATTAGTTTATTAATGCAAACAAAATTCAATTTCTTTCAATTACAAGAAGGCATCCAAGTATGATAAATCTCTTTTAGTGTTTTTCTGCCCTTTAGTGGCCAAAAACTAATTAAGGCAGCTTTAAAGTTCTTTCTAATTGGTGCCAACAAACACCCACCACTTTTGAAATGAATTGCAGATGAACACGGTGGTTTTTCTTGCTCAGGACATCGTGCTGAAAAACGCTGAGTCTTGGGCGAGACTGGTGAGACAGTCAGTCACCCCGACTGCAATCAAGTCCTCCAAAGAGAGCTTCCAGCAGTTCCGTAAGGCCGCCATAGAGAAGGAAGAGCGCGAAAAGGCTCTGAAGAAGAAACCGACGGATGAAAACAAGGAGCGGGAGACTCCTGAAAAGAGCAGGTGTTTGCACAGAAACAGTGAATGCATGAAATGTGTGGCTGAAATTAAATGAATACACTTACATACTATAATTAAATCATTTTCCATTTGCCCTTAGACTAAGTTTAAAAGATGGCAAAGGGCTGCATGATATATCATTTCAGCGTCGACATTTGAATATGCGCATAGTCAGTAGTATGGAAATATTTTGGCTACCAAAAGGATGTTGTTGATCAAAAACAGGTACTCTGTCATCAGCGTTTTGCACTTATTGCTGCATTGACCACTTAAATCAGCACTGCAAAGCTCTGTATAATGAGTGCAAAGAAAGTCCTTCGTCCCATCAAATGCAAAAATGCCTTTGCCAGCGTTCTATGTAATGAGAAAGGTTCAAAACTTTGTGCACTCAAAAAACTTCTTAACTGTAAAGTCTTTTTTTTTTGACAAATATTTTTTAAGTTTCTTTGCACATTAGAATCACCCTAGTCATTCTAGAAGGATTCATTTTTTTCAAATACAAGGTGTGTCAGAAAAGTTCCAGGACTGGTGTCACAACAGATATATTTCAAACCCAAGCTATGAGTTTTCCCCTTCAGACGATCAACCAGCACGTCTACAAAGAGATCCTGCGGCGTTTGCTACATTCAGAAGAGGTGAGAGTTGTGGCAGGACAAGTGGTGGCTGCTTCACCATGACAACGCGCCTGCTCACAATGTCCTGAGCATCCCACAGTTCCTGGCTGAGAAGAACATCTCCGTGCTGGAGCAACCTCCCTACTCACCCCACCTGGCCACGTGGGATTGTTTCCTCTTCCCCAAGCTCAAGGGGGTCATCAAGGGGACCCGTTTTGAAGATGTGGATGACATGAAGATGGCTGTGATGATGGAGCTGAGGAGGGTCCTGGAAGAATCCTTCCAGGAGTGAATGGTAGCATGAAGAGAAGCCTGGAGAAGTGTGTTAGACTCCAGGGGGATTACTTGGAAGGGGAAAACTTGTAGTTTGGATTTGAAATATATCTTTTGTGACACCAGTCGTGAAACTTTTCTGACACACCTCGTAGTTATTCAAATCCTCTTGTAAAAATTCTTGTATTTTTCAGAAAAACAAAGTATTTCATTTCCAGTTATTTCCAGTATTTTGAAGAACTAGATTGTTTAAGGATCAACCTCCAAGTAACAAGTACGTTCTCCTTCTAGCCTACCAGGCCCATGTAAAGCAGAACAAAACCCACAGCCTGTCAAAGAAGATCCTGATTTGCCAGAAAGCGTTTGCGCAGAAGCGATCGTGGATGCTCTCAGACACATCAAGCAGGAAAAGTCTCCCAACGAAACACAACCTCCACCCACACAGCTCCCTGTGGACAGGGAGCGAGAGATTGCCCGCAAGAAGGAGCAAGAGCGTCGCAGGCGAGAGGCTGTGAGTAGCTTTGTCTGCGTTGTAGTTAAAACATTTGCGTCGTTTGTTGTGGTATTAGTGTAAATGGCATTTCAACAACTGTTCTTTCTCTTTTTATAGATGTGTGGTATTGACATGACTTTGCAGCGCGACATCATGACTACGTTTGAGCTCAACATGGACTAAAAGTCAACTGAGACGAATCGGGACAGTGACACCTGCTTGAGATCTCTGTTAACAACCTGAACCGTTCTGTCCTGAGCACAAAACAGTCTTCTATATGCTCTAAAACAAGCAAACAAACAAAAAACTGGATGTTGAATTGTGAGGGGGGAAAATAAACGGTACATAAAATACAAATTAGCATTTGATAAATGTCTGCACTAACGCACTCTTGAATTTGGAATGATTGGGGTGAGGCACTGTCATAAAAACAAACCTGGATGTAATATTTCTTGTACTTCTGCACTTTTCAAATTTGGATGCGTCGTTCTACAGTCGACAGTTGAGAAGCTACTTCATGCATCTATTCACTGCAGTTCCAATGTCACTGTGTTGTTCTGAAATGTGCAGTGTTCGGTTCTCGTCTTTAAGGTGTCCCATTCAGTGAATCGTCACCACGTTTCAGTTAATCCAGAAATACACTAAATATAGACACAGCATTGGTTCGTATGTCTCTGTTACATACGTGTATCCATTTTTCTTTAAAAATCATTTGTTGATGAAAAAAAAACAACTTTTGAACAAAGGTGAGTAGGTCATCTCCAGAGTTTGATTGACCTCAGTTCCCTTATTTGCTCGACTACTTGAAAAATTCATTGTGTTAACTGCACACGCACTGCACTTTGTTGTTGCTCCAGAGTTGTTTTTGGGGGGCATTATCGGCATATTCTGGATGTTACAGTTCATATATGTTAAAAATAAATACAAATTTCTTTCTTTCTTTTTTTTTTTTTTTTACTCAAGATAATAAAGCTATTTTCACTTAAAGTCTGTATCGTTTTATTGACAACACAACAAGTTTTAATTGCAGTGCAGCTCATCAGATGCAGCCCCCGTACGAAAACTGTGGATTTGGTTACCAGCATACAAACACTGTTGGTAAGTTTGTTCTTGTATGTTATCTGATTGAGCTGCTTATTACTGCATAGTAAAAACAAAACAACATCCAGCTCCTGCATGAAGGCCTCAGCATACAGTGAAGCCTATTTAATAAGCTCATATAGTTTATTACCTGACCTGCAAACCCATCACTTCACCCTCTCTCTCTCTCTCTCTCTCTACTGACTCCTAGTGGCAGCTCAGGCTCAAGCCCTATTGTTTGACTTTTCTTGCATGCTTCCTTTTAATAGCTTTAATAACAGATGTTTGAGGGGAAAAAAAATAGAAATGCTTTTCATGTGGTTTCTTAACTGGAGCAAAAGCTATTTTGAAAATCCACTGACTGCGTGTCTTGTGTTGCAGAGGTTTTAAGAAGCAACAGATCACAATGACTCTGCAAAGGTAATGAGGGCAGTTACTGTATCTGTATTTACACAGTTTGGATGTATTTTTTATTTTACCTTTTGTTAATGCTCATTGTCACTTTATTACATGGGAGAAACAGATTAGAAGAGAAGATAAGATTAAAAAAAGGGTAATATTTCAGCAGTGGGAGCAAGAAAAATACACCGTCAAATAACATAAAGAACCATCTTTTTTAGAATATTTCACAATAAAATACATTTTCTAGCCTTGATTTTACATGAAACCATAGAGGCTTTCTTTTATGTCTAATAAAGTAAATTCAAATGTGTAAAAACAATTAAATTACCTGTAATATATGTAACTAGATAGATGATAAACACATGTTTATAGATAGCATACATTGAGGAAAACATATTTCAATGCATTTTTGTTGTGAAAACCTTTGGAATTATACAACATATCTCGCATTTAGCAAACAAAAGTCACAGATCCAATACTTCCTTCTCTGGTGACTGACACTAATTGTAAACAATTTCAGAAATATACTTCCATTAATCTTAAATTTAACAATTTCATCTAATAAAGGAAATATTTCTTATATTCGAATGGAAATTGTATGGTTTTTCACAGGTTATTTAACGTTAGACATATCAATTCACAGCATATTTGTAACTTTAGTTATACTTTTGTGTACGTTAAAGAAATATATGTACAGTAAAAAGAAAAAATTCCCAAAACTGTATGTTTAAAAAGAAATTTCATTGCATTTTATATATTATACCCACTTTGTATTTTTGCAGAATCACTTTAAAAGAAAAGTTTTTGTGATGTTTTTCTGGTTTTAAGTCTTTGTTTTTTTGCCTTTCCACTTTAGTCCATAAGTGACCAGGTGAGATGCAGGAGGTGAAATTCATATGATCTGACATTTCTATTTTACTTTTTTTTTTATTTTTTTTAAAAATATTTTTTGGAATGTTATGTTTTAGGTAGCTAAACTGAACACTGCTATGTTTTATTTTGAAGAGTACTAATCTGTTAAAATAGTAAACAGCAACTCACCAAACACTATAGACTTAAGGCAAGTGAAATTTAAAGTAATCCAACACAAAAGAACAGCTCTGCCATAAACTCTGCTTTTAGGAGGCTTCTACATTTTCAGTTTTAGTCCATCAGGCAATGATTCTGCTTCCTGTTAGGTGATAGCGGTTGGTGGCGGCGGCGCTGAACTGCTTTATATTTGAAAGTGTTCCTGATATTTGGTCCACTTGGTTAAAAAAAACTTCTCACAGATTTTCTCACTCGTGCCTAATTTTGATTTATGGGCTGGAAATGACACCAGTAAATGAGAGCAAGACATTGTGTTGTCATTGTGTGATGGTAATGATGTATTTTAATTAGTTCTATATTGTCTTTTTTTTTTTTTTTTTTCCCTTCAAACACCCTGTCTAGAAATATTCATACCATTTCTCAGTAGTTAATGACGGAGCTTTTATTTGCCTCCAACAGTTCTTATAACTGCTAACAAGCTTCCTGTTTGTCTCCACTGGGATGTTGTTCCTCTCTGTGATGATCTCTGAGGTTGCAAGACTTCATTGCTATCATAGAACCCAGATCTGGACTCCAAACTGTAGATATTAGTTGCTGTTAACCATTTCCTGCCCACTTTGGCTGAATGTTTCAGATCACTGTCTTGCTGGAAGGTCCAGTGCTGCCCAAGGCCATGTTTTCTTTCTGCAGAGTGCCTGATGTTTTCCTCCAGAATCTTTTCCTCATGTTTATTTGAACAAGGTTTTCCAGCCCATTGGCTGAAAAACACCCCAAAGCTTCACATTCTCGACACTGTGCTTGACCGCGGGGATGGTGATCTAGGGGTTGAATACTTCTTCTTTCGTTGGTCCCTTTCGTCCAAACAACTCAATTTTTTACCACAGAACTGACCATCAAAGACTTCCTTATTTGTCCAGGTGAGCTTCTGTGTGTCTGTCTGGGACAAGAGACTCCTCCCTGGTCAGTGTTCATGGAGTCCAGCCTCGTCTCTGCTGATCTTGAGATGTTGCAACAGGAACCTGTCAGATTCACCAGGATGGTCTTTGTGGCGATTCTTAGATTCTTCTTGATCTCCAACATTCTTGTCAGTGGAGGCATCACTTGTCTTCCTATCAGCATTTCTCCATCCGGTAAGCAGCCACAGTGTGCAGCTCAGGTCAGTGATGGACACAAATAGCAGTTCGCTGAACTCTTTGGTTTAACTCATTAAAGAACCGCTGCATCAGGTGCTGTTTGTGTGACATGAATGCTGTAGAACCATTTCAAATGGTACTCAAATGTATCCATACCCTCCCATTAAAGAAGGAAAAAAACAGCTGTCACTGCAATAAGTTGAAATTGACAAATGTAATAATAAATTAAAATTGAATGAAAATCATGACGTTGCTTTTGAATTGTGGTTCAACAGAAGTATTTATAAGAAATAAGCAAACAAGCATGATTGGACCCGTAAAGTAATATTTTGTTGAACAACCCTTTGAGCCAATCACTGCAATCAAGTGTTCTCTGTAACTCTCAATCAGACTTCTGCACCTGTTGACAGGTATTTAGATTTTGGTCCACTGCTCATCAGCAAAGTGCTCTAATTTGTTTGGGACAGATCTATCTATCTATCTATCTATCTATCTATCTATCTATCTATCTATCTATCTATCTATCTATCTATCTATCTATCTATCTATCTATCTATCTATCTAAAAACAATTCAAAAGCAATGTCTTATTTCACGAAATTATAATTGATCAAATTTTTATTTAGGATTTTTTTTCAGTTTCTAGTTATTTGAGTGACTGTTGTGAATTTTGCCTTTTCTTTAATGGAAGGGTATGAATACATATGAGGGCATTTTTCTCAAAAAAAAATAGTTGAAAATTTCACGTGTTTGACTAATTCTGGACATGGGAATTTAAATGAAAAATAAAAAATAGTAACAGTAAAAACATTTTTTAAATAATCATCTTTACCATCTCTAACACTGTGTCTTACTGTCTTGGATCACTTGTTTTTGTCATTTGCAGCCAGAGGGTCAATGAAAAAATTCACTATATATCAGAATTTGGCATGTATAATTGTTGGCCTCGCGTTGTGTGTGTGTGTGTGTGTGTGTGTGTGTGTGNATCTATCTATCTATCTATCTATCTATCTATCTATCTATCTATCTATCTATCTATCTATCTATCTATCTATCTATCTATCTAGTTTTTTTCAGTTTCTAGTTATTTGAGTGACTTTTGTGAATTTTGCCTTTTCTTTAATGGAAGGGTATGAATACATATGAGGGCATTTTTCTAAAATTAAAAAAAATAAAATAAAAAAAAATAGTTGAAAATTTCACGTGTTTGACTAATTCTGGACATGGGGATTTAAATGAAAAATAAAAAATAGTAACAGTAAAAAAAAAATAATCATCATCTTTACCATCTCCAACACTGTGTCTTACTGTCTTGGATCACTTGTTTATGTCATTTGCAGCCAGAAGGTCAATGAAAAAATTCACTATAGATCAGAATTTGGCATGTATAATTGTTGGCCTCGCGTTGTGTGTGTGTGTGTGTGTGTGTGTGTGTGTGTGTGTGTGTGTGTGTGTGTGTGTGTGTGTGTGTGTGTGTGTGTGTGTGTTGTGTTGTTTTCTAACAGAATCAGTGACCTGCTCGGCTCTGTGTGTTTACAGGAGCTGACAGTGGCGCACCTGTGCCCTCCTCACAGCTCAATGCGCACCAGAATCGCTCATTAAGTCGCGCCAATGATCATTTCAAACAGCTATAATTACATCCCAGTCAGGTGTTTTGATTCATTTATTCTTCATCCTGAACGTGCTCGCCTTGTTTTCATTGCAGTCTCGTTGCCATAACAGCAGGGTGAAGCCGCGGTGCTTTGCAGTGATTTTTTTTTTCTAATAATCTGGGGGTTTTCTCTCTCTCTCTCTGCGTCTGAACAGCGCCTCTTAGCTGCGCCCAAATCTCTGCAAATCTCTGCACCGAGCGGCTCCTTTCCTCGCTCCGGTTCGGTCGGACTTGCCTTGTATAGTCAACAACACCGTCTCCCGCTAAACAAAACCAGCCGCTGTCACACGCAAGCGTGAAAAATCTGACGTGATGCCACCACCACCACCGCCGCCGCCGCCGCCGCCGTCCCATTCAGCCGCTCGTCGGGATCCTCCCTTCACACAGTCGTGCGTATGCGCCGGGAACCAAACAACGGCATTGTCAGAGCGGCGTCCAAACGAGCAATTAACGGGAGGAAATCAATAGGCAACGCGATCCGGATTGATTTCCTGCGGCAATGTAAAGATGGCGAGAGTGCTCCACAACTTGCTGTTATTTCTCATCAGACTTGCGCTGAAAATCAGAGTTGTGGGGTATTGGTCGCTGATCTACGGTTATTGTGCTCTGTGCTCCGTCGTGGCGCTGCTGAAACTTTGGTGGAACATCGTCTTGAGGCCGACGACAACCTTCCAATGGGTGATCCGTGAAACT